GGATCTTGTTCATTTTGAACAGGGCTCGCTGTCCACGCCGCCGCGGCCTGTGTCCATTCGAGACAGGAGGCCGCCTGCCCAACAGCGGCCGCTGTTGGTTTGGGACAACATTTGCTGTTGGGCATTGTACCCATTTTTTCGGTACCCATTTCGGGCGTCCAAAAAGGCGCAGGGGGCTTCTCAGAAGGCGCGAGGGCTTCTGAGAAGCCCCGCCGCCTTCTGAGAAGGCCTGCTCCTCCTCCTCCCCCCCGGCGCGCCGCCGAGTCTTGGCCTTCGATGGCAGGGGTCACGTCAACACTGGCAGAGCGACCCCAGCCTTTTTGAAGTCGCTTCTGGGATGTTGTTTCTGGCGGCGCTTGTGCTACATACATTGGAAGCCCATGTCAAGAAACACCCTGCTTGCCTCCAGGGTACACTGTGTTTCTTTGGTTTCGATGGTTTTGCCATGGAAAGCGTGACGTCCCACACCAAAGTACATAGACGTCTTAGGGTCTCAGGGTTGGATTTCTTGTGGAAGGTTGCTTGTGGACTGGCCTCCACTGTAATATTTGGTCTTTATCGTCTGCCGTATTAGCCACCTTGCCTGCGCGCTTGCGCATGACAAAGACTGGGCATGGTTAGTGGAAGGGTCATCACAGCTGGCACCAACAGAAACGCACCGTCTCAAACAGCGTTCTCGCACGTCAGTGCCAAGTCAAGTACGAAGGGTCACTGGCCGCAATACGGTTCCGTGTTGTTCATCCGCAGCACAAGGCTTCCCAGTGAGCATTGCATCTTTCTCATGGACAGACATTGTCATGAGCATTCTAGCCATGTAGACCCCCACAATGAAGCGATTATCTCCTCAAGCAGCTGGGGTACCAGCAGCAGGCCTTCTGTGAATCAGCCGTCACTCGCCGATGACCGTCCTCCCAGGACAAGTATGTGCGTTCTCAGCTTCAGTCTACGATGGGCACTGCGCGCAGGAGCGTCAGGAACCGCTCAAATGGCGCGCCTTGATTTTTCACAGTGCCGACATCAGCTGGTTTATAGAGACACTGGAAGAAACTACAAAATGCTAGGCTAGCTCGGGGGTCTCCAAGTTTGGCTGTGAGCAACTGCGTGCCATCGCACGACTCCTTGAAGAAATCGGCGGCACAGTCTTGTCTCATGCATCTGGGTCTAATCATGAATTTGGGCGGTCTAGTGGGAGAGGCCCAATGCATTTTGATTTGTGGAGTAGGCCTGCCTCACACCCGCAACCAGAGAGGGGCATTCAGTCACAAGGCGATCCGCCATCACAGGTAAGTGTTTGCTCGGCAGGCCGATGCGCTCTGGGTGTGTAGCTCAAACAGCCAAACGTCGTTCTTCAAATTGTCCATGAAGGGTTAGACAAGTTGGATTCAAATGCTGAGAGACCTGTGGCAGTCCTGGGAGGGATGTAGTTATACCGATACGGCATTCGTGTTGCATGGGGAGGTCATTCCTATGTTGAAGAAGGCCCCGTATCAAGCAAACAAAATTGAAGATGCATGACTGACCGGAGGGCGAATGCCAGTCTTGGCCTCTCATTGCGCGAATGTTCTTGATATGGGGAGGGGCGTAATTAACCGCACCAATGCTGGAGCGATACCTTTTGACGGTGGCAGCTCTGCTTCCAGTCAAGAACTTTGTTTCGTGACCGTTCCGTATGCGACCGACACCAGCACCAGATGGAATAGCGTGGATAACCAGTTGGATTATTTCTTTGTGCGTCCTTGGGCTGGGTACCCAGAACCACGTACTAGGCAGTTCAGATTTGTCGCTGAGCACGGCATGTCACATCACAACGAACTTTTGTTTGACATTCGAATATGAGTGGGACTGTGGTTGCATTCTACGAGCAAGATCAATGCCAGTCAATTCGGTTGAGGGGGCACCGTGCGCTCCCGAGTTACCTGAGTTGTTTGCGTCCAGTGTCGCCTGCATCTACGGTACCCCGTGACGTGCCATGTCTACTACTCGTATGTGTGCCCACCTATGCATACCGATACGCACACAAAATCTACGTAATGCCTACTACCCGTGCCGTGCTTACGTGCTCTTGCGCCTACAGGGCGCACCTATGCCGAGCAATGCTTCCCTGTGTTAGCCTACGAATTTCTCTGCCTCCCTAAAGACTTGTGTCCACTC